AGGAGCCGTCGCCTCCTCCCTCCCCGGGCTCCGGGCCAGCGGGCCGGGCGCGGGTCAGCCCCTGCGCGGGTAGGATGCGGCAGCGGGAGAGACCCCCTGGCTCGCCTCCCTCGCTGCGCATCTCTCCTCCGGAGGCGCCTGCCTCTCCCGCGCCGGGGCACACGCCAAGCCCGCTCCTCTTCCTGCTGCTCCCGTTCTCAACTGTCCCCCGTGCCACACTTCAGACACCTCATCGCTTCTGCGTGTTTCCCCCCGCTCCAGCTTTATAACTTCCCTGCCCCACACACAAACGACAAGGTGTGAGCACAGGAGACATCTCCATCCACCGCAACGTGTGAGTGATGGAAACCGCACCTGCAGTCCCGGAAACCAAAGGCCGACCCTCCCCATACTGACGTGCAGCTGCCTTTAAGAAACTGCTTCAAGGCTGAAAACAGAACACAAGAACTTTGTTTCAAACATTAATAAACGCTGAGCCTGCTTCCTGGTGGCTAGGAAGCTGGAGTGCACCTGTTTCCGGGAACAACAGCTCTCCAGCTAAGGTTTTAATGGCTCAGCCTCTAAGAGCTTTTTGCAGGTTGCAGAAGGGGAGCAGAGCACCAAAATGAATGAATACATTGGAACGTAGAGGGGGGCACACATGTGAGAGAAATGTGTTTTCCTGTAGCAAATTGTATCAGTAGATGATATCTGGCACAAACCTGAAGAAAATATACAGTCTATCTTCTTGTAAAAGATGTAAGCATATGTCTTTCCAGTTCTAGAATTCCTAGCATCCCAAATGCATTGACACTTTTGCACTTCATTGCCCTTTTCCTTTCATGATGACAACTTCAAAAAATCTATAAATGAAACAAGCATTTTTATTTCCTGCACACTGAGAAGGCAGTAAATTGAGCCCCCCACTTTGTCTCACAGTACATTGGTGTAAGATGCCAATAAAGAACAGAATTCAGAGTGATTTTGAGGCTTGATAAGCAGCTATTGGCATACATTGTTCACTGCTGTAGTGCCAAGTCAACAGGAAAGCAAGAGGACAATAAAAAAGTTAGTGTTTCCAAGATTAACAACAGCACATTAGGAATTAACACTTTACTAAGTAAATAAATTGCATAATTTAAAATGTTTCTGAATTAAGCATTTATTTTAACTTTAGCAAAACAAAGACATTTATGGATAGGCTGACAAGTTGCTGCAGGCCTATCCACAGCCTTTGTCACATTCATGCCATGTCTCAGTAGGAGCAACTAGATACGTAGTTAAATGAGGAATGTTCATGTCTTGAAGTCCAAAGCAGCATGGTTCTGATAGCAGGATATTTTTTCTGCGGCAAAGAAACACTTTATTCTCTCCATCAGACAATTTAGCTGAACTATTTAAGAGCCTTTATTGCTTCTTGATCCATAAGGTCAGCTTCAGACACCTTCAGCCTGCTGGAAATTACAGAACTATATCAGATAAAGTAAATTGTTGATGGGGTAGCTGCAGCTAATCTACATGAAACGTCAATTGGTTACAGGCATACAAATGTCCTGAAAATGGTGTGGGTTTTGACTTTTTGGCCAGTTCTACAGAGAAGAGTCAGTGTGAAATAGCTGCCAGGGTGCAGAGTTCTTTGGCCCTGTCTGTGTCATCATGTCAGGTACTTACATGTGTATCTAAACGCAGAGGCGCCTTATAAATGCCTAGCTATGTGTAGAAAGCAAAAATCACAGAACACTAGTTCAGAGAATCCACACAAAAGAATGCCCATACAAGTATCAGAACTTACAGAAAAGTTCACTGAGAAAAACTTCAAAGGCAACAGACAAGCCAGCAGAAAAATCACATTTCATCAGGTGAAGTACTGCACAGGATTCATATTCCAAATTTCTCAGTAAGTTCTACACTCAGGCACAAAGCAGTTGGATGAAACCATTTCAACCCACACATACTGCATTCATGTAATTGTATTGCTAAAGGTACGTAGCTTATTGGGAGATTTTTTTGGAAAGCTATTCCAGTATAATTCCCAATAGGGATGTAATTATATATCAGTATAGAAGTGCTTTATACTAGCTTAATGCCTTTCTCTAAGGAAATACTTTTCTTTTTATCAGTACACACAAGTTTACATTGCGAGATCTGTATTGATTTGTGGATTTAAAGCAATACAAATTCATTGCAAAAACCACAAGCTGCTAGTTGAACAAAGCTAAAAAACCCAAAGCACTGAACTATTTAAGCTATTTCCCCTGAATACTGGTAAGGAAGACATCATTATTTCTATTTTTAAACACTTGGAATATGAAGGCCTATGCAAATACATACACAAATCATGAGTCTGCTGAAATCAGGAAAAAGATGAGGAACAAGAAAAAAGAGGACCTACTGAAGGAAAAAAGAATCAGGAAGAGAGCGTATTCTGTCCATGGAAAATATTTTCACAAATGTAGCTCTTCTCAAAATATGAAATATTTTCTCAGCCATTCATCTGAGTTGCCACTGGAAACAGGGATCGTCTTGGTCAATACAGACTCTATAAATATTTTGTGAGACATTAGTAAATTTGGTATGATCATATTTTCTAGTAATGAGTGCTAACAGACCATTACAAAAACACAATTATTCTAATTAAATACAGCAGTAATCAATACCCTGTGCTCTGGGTGAGTTTGCTTCAGTAAATACAGTGATGCATATTTTTCAGATTAAAATGTTTACAAGAAAAAATGTAATAGTTTAATAAACTGGACTATAGTTTTCTTCACAGGCCATAAGCTGCTACATAAAGCATGAATCTTAACTCTCCCCATGCAGTTAACTATCATTTCAGGTAAAGAGCTCCACCAGTTGTCCTTGGCACAGCTTCAAGACAGCTTAACCTTTCCTTCTGTAAGTATCTGATGATGGAAGGAAGGATTCTGTAGGTCATTCACTTACATCTGCTCCTGCAGCTGCTCACCTCAGCAGACGTTACACCTTCAGCCTTTTCAGTTGTTCCAGATACTTCTGTTTTTCTTTTATAGCTAACTTTGGAGGTAATAGTAATCCTAGAAATTAATTCCACCTAATGCCCAGTATTTTCCTGAGATATTTGCTTTCAAAATGAATTGTTGTCAGTCATTTCTCAGCTTTCATATTCATATGTTAAGTTGGAAGGAAGATGTAAGCTGCAGATTCATTGCTTAGTCTTTAAGTTGTGGATATTCAATGACACCATCTTGCTTAAACTGGTGCCAGTGTGAGAAAAATGGCCTCACTTAAATAATTTAAATGGCATTCATTAAAAGGAAGAAATTGCTGAATCAAGTACCTTGTCAGCATTTTCAAAGATGAGGTGGTTTTTAGGAATAAAGAACAACTTCATAATAAGTGTAGCTATTCGCTTTAACTCTTCACACTGTAGCTTAGCCCATGGCCCAAACGCACCTTTAGGACTGCCTTCATAGCTCCCATCTGACTGACACAACTATGTTTGAGGAAGGAGATTAAGATTTTGGGATATACGGGGCAGTGCTGATGTACTTTAAGGGCAAAAGCAACTGCCTCAACTTCACAGTTCAACAGAGTGGAAAGTATTAGCAGTAAATGTGAAAAGAATCAGCTAGCCACTAGTTAAAAATAAGAAACCTGTCTATCCTGAACTGAGAGATGACTTACATATACTGTAATATAAGCCAAAACATGCTGTTGTAGTTCTGGTGGGGCAGTTTTCCAATTCTTCCTAGTCCCAGACTAACAGTAACAGTGGATGACCTTAAACTTGTGTTTCTGCTTGCATAGTCCCTACCTGACAGCTGCGGGGATCCTGTTTATTTTAATATATACTTACTGACACTGGAAAATAATAGCATTTGCATTATTCAGGAGGTCACAGCCAAATGCCAGAAAGGAAACTGTCCGACATAACATAACCAGATTGTCAGCACTCTCAGGCCTAATGTTTGTTACAAATTAAGGAATCCTTCACTGCCTGGTTTAGCAACCATTGCACCTATGTCACTGGTGTAAACTTAAGGGAAGTCTACTTCAGGTAATTTCATCCCACGTGTTTCCAAAGTCTTCAGGTATTCCTAAAGGCTTAGTTTACCAGCTGCATCTTACAGACATGTGCGTGATGACAGAGACAATTTCAACAGGGCTCCACAAGAATGCTGCAGTGCATCCAGGCAGAATAATTTTCAGGATCAAACCCTCGCTCTGGATTTGTGTGTCAGTGTTTGTAAGGCTGACTTTCCAAAGAATGTGAATGAGTCATCTCATGCAACATGACATGATGGTGTAATATGCTATTTTGGTGATCTATTTTTGGATCTATGACAGGGCAATAAACATGGGAACTTCTTAAAATTTGGAAAAATATAGCCAAAGAAAGCAGCTATACAGTGTGACACTACTGCCAAGGTCACACTGGTGTTTCTTCCCTCATTCAGTCAAGACATGCATTGGAAAGGAACAGGCTTTCTGGTATTTCCTGACCCTTTCAGAAATGTGGAAACACTTTGACAGCTGGTCTTTTTCCTGATTTTCTGAATTCCAATCAGAATAGCAAAATTAAAGTCTTCATAACTTTTAAAAAATGCCTAAGCTTCCGCTTCCTTCCCTTAACTGCTATTTAGAAATAAATGGAACATATTTAGAAAGTAAAGGAGTAAATTACAGAACAATAGCAGCAGACTTTCAGGCTTTTAATGTCTAAATTTTATGATAATAGGTATTAATATAGGATAAAACTGAGCAGTTATTTACAAAATAATAATAATAGTAAAACCAGAACATCTCTCCCCCCAAAATAGGGCCTGACTATTTAGACAGAGGGAAAAAAAAAACAAACCAAACTTATTTTAAGTATTTTCATTACCTTACTTGATCAGTTTTGATCTTTGGTTTATGCGGATGAGAAATCAGCTCTTTCTAAAAAGAGAGAAAGACACATTAATTATCACTAGTTCATTCTAAACTTACTGTTTATCCTGGAAGACAGCTTTATACAAACACTTAAACAAAAGACTACACTAGCAATAGTAAAGAGTTTGGTGTTTTTTAATGTGCTAATATGGTACCTGAGTAGTCCAGAGTATAAAACTCATACAAGTTATTGTGTCAGGAGGAAGGAGACTCATGTTTTGTTTCAGGCCTAGCTTTAATGCATAGAATTTGCACAAAGCAGATATACTTGGTTCAGCATTTTGATAAATTTTGAGAAGAGTAAGTACGTAATATGAACCAACTTAAAAGCTTAAATAAGGAGGAAGAAAAAAAGAGGCTTTTATGTCTAAAATGAATACGTCATTTCTGAAGGTATCCTTTGAAATCTTGTTTTCCAAGTTACTTCTCAAATCACTACACTTATCAGCCTTAAATGTCAGTTCTACTCTCTGCTATTGAGTAATGAAATTGTATTAATTAGGATATGTAGTTCTTCGGAAGGACAGATGTTTAACCTTATATGGGGTAAAAACTCATCTATCTCTGCTTTGTATCTTGTGAATTACAACTGAAGGAAAGAAGTGCCTTAATATAATACAGACCTCTTGAATTTTCTTCTCCTGCTAAACATCCAGCCAGGCCAAGCAAAACCATTATAAATCAGTAAATTTAGAGTTCACTACTGATAATAATAAAATTCCCTAAATGGAGTTCTTCCTTTTATTGATCAAATTTAGTTTACGAGAGCTTTTTAGGAAGCAGAGCACGTGAAACCTGCAGCCAGTCTAGTAACTTTGTTATAAACTGAGTTTTAGAGTTTCAGTGGAAAAAGACCTAGAGACAATAATGAAAAAAATCAAAGCAACTAACAATGCACAGGCTGTAAAGATTCCTTTGGCATATTAAACTGAGAAATTTAGACACTTATACATAGTTGTATTAAAATTGGTTTAATTTAAATAACTGAGGTCCTTTCATTATGTATGTCTACATAGAATGCAGGGCCTTCAGCAAAATACTGCCACAGTCCTCACTGCCAGTCTGACAGCACTATAGTCACTGCTTCTGCTGTATTTCTCTTCTCAGTCCCAAGTTGTTCTAGTTTTCAAGATTCCGTGCTTTCTCATGTTTGCCCTGTTCCCTATCTGCCTCCACCAGTGAGGTCAGCTTCAGTTCCTGTCTGCTCCTCCCACAAGCATCTCCACATTTTCTGTGAAAATTCTGATGTACTAAGTCATCCTTTTGAGATAGTTTGCAAGAAGACACGCAATCCATTCTCAGCAACTCTTCTATTCTGTTGTCTTGGAGAAAGTAATCAAGGCCAGCATGTTATAGCTGAGTAAATTATAGATATACCCATACAAAAATAAAATGTAGCATCAAGAAACAGTCAGTTATACCTTCAAACACTTTAACGTATTTATAATATCACTGTCTTACTCCTTGCGGTTTTCAGACTGGAAATTGTCCAATAACCATATTTAGCTCGCTTAAACTTCTTTTAGCTTCTATGCCTATTGCTTCCTACTGTCTGGCCTAAGACTTTCAGAATCACACAGCCTACAGGATCCTCTTTGCTTAGGGAATTTGTTGAATAGAACCAACTGTTCTGCATGCTTACTCAGTTCAAATTGAGGTGCTTTTGCTGTGCAAGACTGATACCACAGTATAGTTTTCAACACCCCGTGAACCCTCATATACTGAACTATGGTCCTTTGAATGCTGTCCATATTGTCAGCATGCACAAACCTTGAGATGCATCCATAATAAAAAGGAATCAGACTTACTGCAATCCTTTCTTCTCTCTGTTTCCTCAGGAAAGCTAGTATTTCTTCTCTTCTCCTGGCCTGAAAAGAAATACATTTGCCACAATGAGCTCAGAAAAATGAATTAAAAGCATGTAATACTTAACTTGATTGTAAACTTTAAATTCCTCATTGAAGCTGAGAACTAGAGTGAATATACAGCAGAAACAGGCATAACAGGTTACTAGATAAAGTACTTTGATTTCTCTTTCTTCCTGAGATCCTGAAAACACACGGCTTAGGAGAGCAACCTTCTCTTCCTAGATTTACATGGGGTTTGAAATAATCATTCTTTCCTCAAATCAGAAGGAATCATTCCAAATGTCAAGATGAATATACATCCTAAAGTTAGAAAATACTGTTCTGTAGCATCTTGACATTATAAAATTGAGGTAATTCAGGACTCACACATGTGTAATGACTCATTGCAAAAACCTTTTCATCTGAGAGGTGCAATCAGAGATAACTTTTGTCTTCAGTATGCATCTTTGGATTAAGCCAGTCTCTGCTACTCTGTAGAAGTGATTTAAAACTGCGATAATTTCAAAGGTGACCAAATTTAGTCCAGTTTTGAACTACGGAACATTTAATGACTCTTTTCAATCCACGGTCCAGGTTATTCTCTCTACAAGAAGAGAAGTACGCATCCTAGAACTTGTTAAAGCTCCTCTCTTTATACAGTTGGAAGAAAAAATAGTTTCCTAGGGAGAATAAATTCCTACTGAGAGTTTTTTAGTATTCTGATTCCCAGACATCTGAGCACATCTATATATTTTTGCCTTATGGAAATGAATAGCTTTCAGCTACAGTGAGACATCACTGTTTAAGCTGAGGAAAAGCATATTAAATTGTTTTCATAAATACCTAGCAATTTGTTATGAAACAGACATTCCAGGAAGTATTTTGGGAAAACCCTCAACCAGTGCCAGAAAGGAGCACATCTCAGGATATGACTAATAAAAAAAAGAAAAGAAAAAGAGTTTCTTATTTGTTCTTTTCCATCCAGAAATGGTTAAGAAAAGATGATGTAAAATTAATGGGGAAACCCCCTGTTTTTTAGTGCAGTGGATTCTTTTGTCTGATGACAATTTCTTCCATGCAGTTTGATTTTAGAAATTAAGCAATCTTCATTATTTAAAGTGGTTTCTTCAACAACCATTTCCAAGTTTTAATCAGCTTTAAGCCTAATAAAAAAAAATGCCAACTTTTTTTCCCCCAACAGATTAATGTAAATGACAGCATAAAAGACAAAGCCCAAGCTCTAGATATTTGGGAGTCCTGATATTGAAAAGTAACACCCACCCAATATTCTGGAATTCGAATTCTTATCCTTCACTGTTATTCCCCTTTCACAAAAGGGGAGTAAAATACCTGAGCTGATAAAAAGGAAAGCAAAACTGAGCCACATCTTAGATCACAATAGGAAGCTGTATTTTTGTTCAGTAATATGGGGAGTTAATGTAAACCAATATCCAAGTAGGGCAAGCAGTGCATGCCCAGGAGCGAGAATCAGGTTCAACGAAGAGACCAGATGATCAGGCAAGTTTGTGGTGATGAGGCAGTACAAGTTTAAGTCAGGCAGGCAGTCCACAGGTCAGGCTCAGTGATGGTACCTTAGAACTTACTAACTAAAGGTAGCCAAATAAGACCAAGATCAAAAGAAAAAGTGGCCAGATTGGAAAAATGTCTAGCAATACCAAGATCTATTCAGACAAGCTAAGCATTCCTATTTTAGATGCATTAAACTGATTACTCAGATTTGCAGTGTTTATAATTTTGAAATGTCTTTGTTAATCATAAACTGTCCTGTAAAGCCTGTGGGAATTAATAAATTACAGAATAGTCCAGTGAAATAAACATCCAAAAGACAACAGCTTTTTTTGCCAGGTGCCTCACTACTATTTCATATGAAATTAACTAACTAATTAAAATAAGCATTTCTAATAAATGAATTCATTGTCAGTTTGTGAAATAACAGTGTTAATGCACCTAAGCTTTCTTTCTAAAAAACCCTGTCCCTGTACCACTGTGGAGACAACATTCACTTCCCAGATCTGCACAACAGAGCTTCCAGGTTTTGCTCTCCCAGGGGACATGCTGCAGGAACAGAATGTCTGAATCAAGTCTGAAATCTGGATTTGAACAGTAAATGACACCTATGACTGATAATAATGTGAACATTATTCTTATTTCATTCAGTGCATTGATTTTAATTTTCTTAGACTTATGTGAGGCTTATAACGTGTCCTGTAGTTGTCTAAAGTAATTTACTCATTGAAACTAATCAGTCATCTTTATGGCTGCCAGATGCCCAAAGCTGCAAAACCTTGCTATCATCTATTGTTACTGAATTTTAAAAAAATGAACAAAAGATTCAGGGAACTGTTGCTAGCTTCAGCCAGAATTCAGAAAGAAGGCTAATTGATGGTAATGGATGAGATGTATTTTGGAATTATTAATTGGAAAAGGAGGATTGCTGACTTGCAGGAAAGACTTGCAGACCTCAGCACCTTTCTGCACCTCTTGCAGATTGCTCTCATCTGGCCTGCCTCCCAAATATAGGCTAGAGGCTTTTCAGTAAAAATGTGGAACGTTTTACTAAAATGAGAAAAAAAAAGTGTAATTACAGAGTCGGACTGAAAATGTTATTACAATATTTAATACTAGTTGTCTTAGTTTCCATTACTTCTGTGAATTGTATTCATGGTATATATGTGGAACATTAATTCACCAGTTAGATTAATAGGGGCTTCGGTAGAAGTTTGTATCAGTGTCTCAATAACAAGCACAACTGTTATCTGCATCTTCTTTTTCTTGGCAAAGTAGCAGGAGAAACCCCAAGCTCTATATACTTGGTCCAATCCCACTGTTTTGCAGGAGATGAACCTCAGTGATCTGGATACCATGTCACTTACTTTGCTTCTTTTCATGGCCAATTTAATGCTTGAGTCACTGCATAAACATGAGTATATATAACTCATAGAATGCTAAATTTTATTGATCCTATCCACCAATTACAGACTACAGGAACCATTAACTAAAGTGCTGACTGGGTGTTTGCATGCCAGATTGATGTTAGCTTTTGTAAAACTCCACTAAGTCAGAAGGCTCTGCGCAGTCCAGAAGGATCCAACCTGAAAGGCGCGACAATATCCCAGTTACGCCTTCCTTTGGAAAGACAGAATCATCTATAAACTCAGTTTTGATGTTGTTTGCTAAAATCTACAGTTTGTTCTGCAGCTAAGTAGTTTCTACAAAATTTGAAATGGCTTGGTCTAGCAGTTCTTGGATTATACCTCTAAAAATATCACCTAAACCTGTCCCTGAGTGACAGGCTAAGGCAGAAGTATTTCTATGGAAGCCGATTTAATAACAGCCCACTGCCAAATTTCCCACATCTCTCACTCAGTGAACTCTTGGCACTAGCTGCTGCTGGGCATAGGCTAATGGAGAAGATCCATTAATAACTAAGACAACTAAGAAATACACTTATGCTTTGAGCTGTGCTTCAATGTCTCTATGCCAGGATTTTGTGTGTGAAAGTGCATGCGGCACTGGTGGGTTTTTTCCCCCCAAAATTATCCACTTTTGAATCTGGGCACTCTCAGTTGGCTACTTTTAGATACTAAATCAGAACAGACATTATGTGCTTACTATGAAGAAATTAAGTACACTGCCTACTACTTTCAGCCCTGCCCCAAGCCAGCATGACCCAACTGGGAATAAGTTTAAGCTAACCATCAAGAAATGGGCTGCATCATGCAAACCACACAGTGGGCCAGGTCCAGGCAATTTTCATTACTGTTCATCATGTCATTTCCAAAGTTCCAATATTCCACCAAGTGACACACGGTGAATGGAAATATTTATGAAAAAAGAGTCGGGATCAGTGGTTCTTACTTGCTGAAGATATTTTACTTTTCCTTTAGCTTTCTCCATGCTTTGAGCTTCCCAGAGTCTCTCTCGCTCGCTGTTTTTCTCACTTTCTAAATAAGACAAATGAGAGGCAAATGAGGAAGTGGTCCTACTATCACCGTCCTTCCCAGGGGGCAACTGAACCACAGTGTACTTTGGGGCCGTTCAGAAAGTTAGTGATCCCAGTGTCTGGATCCCAAGACAGTAGGTATCAGCTGAAATATCTGTCGTGCACATAGGGGCTGTGGCTCTTCTGTCATCCAGAGCGTATTGGCATGAGTCATTATTCATTTCTGAGAGAATTCATTCCTCCCAGAAACCTACGCAACAAAGGTTTAGCAAGCTGGGGGCACGCAGTACTTCATACTTACTTCCAGAAAGTTGTGGGCCCCGGTGCTCTCCAGTACTTCTCTCTGGAGAGTAAAATCACATTAAGGGCACCTGGGAAGGTGGGTGGTAGTGGTGCAGGGAGGACATGAGGCTCTGGAGAGGCGTCTGGGTTCTGGAGACGGTGCAGGGCTCAGGCAAAAGGTTTGGGGTCCCTGGGAGAGCACAGGGCCTCGGGAGGATGTGTGAGGCCCCAGGGAAGGCGTGGGGACCCCAGGAGAGGTGTGAGGCCCCAGGAGGAGCATGAAGCCCCAGGCAAGGTGCAGGACCCTGCAGAGAGGTGTGCGGCCCCAGAGATGGTGTAAGGCTGTAGGAGGGTCTCCTCAGGGGGCAGAGTCCCTTCATGGGGTCCCCTCACAAGGCAAAGGTCTCGCCATAGGGCAGGGTCCCTTCCCGGGCAGGGTCCCCTCACGTTGCAGGGTGGCAGGGCCTAGACGGGACTCGAGCGGCGGTGGGAGCATGGCTGAAGTTCAGAAGGTGCGGGCGAAGCCCACGTTGGCTGGGCTCGAGCCAGCAAAAAGAAGGCGCCCATCGGGCGCCATCGGGTGCTGTCCTGGCTCTGTCCCCCTGGCGCTGCATGGGGCTGTGCCCCAGTGTCCCCTCTCCATGAGGTGGGCCCACTCAGATCAGCCTGTCTACTCCTGCCCTGTGGCCACGAGGAAGCAAGAGGATGGCAGGACCCTGGTGCTGCCCATGCCACTGACATGTCCCTGTCACTGCCACCTGCTGCGGTAAGTACCTGTGACCTCTCTGCTGGGACCCTTCCCTTTTCCCTGCCGTCACTGGCCTCTGGGTGCCAGGAGGGAGGACTGTAGTGAAGGTGTGAAGCCATCTCAGAGGGGACACAGCAGCACAGACATGCCTGGGGAGCCTGGACCCAGCTGCACGGTAAGGGACACACCGCCTGTCACAGTAAACATGGAAGACCAGAAGGCTGACCACATTGTTCATCTCATTTCAAGTGTCTTCAGGCCATTTTCACTCAAGTCTAGCCTCGGGCTCTCTATGAGCAGGAAATAGCTGCCACCACAGGCCTCAGTTTTATTTATTCAACAAGAGTAAATGGAGGTAAATGTGAAAACAGTGGCCTTAGACAAGGCTGAGACGAGCACAATCAGAATGGGAGGTGATGTCTGCAAATTTTGGGAAGAAAAAAACCTTTCAATTTATTCTCATGTTTTTAGTGTTCTGTACACAAAACAGTTGTGAATGAAGTGTATCACAGAGTAAGGTGCAGTTGAATTGGCTTGACAAATGCACTGATGTCTCTTGCATGTGTGACAAGCAATCCAGTACATTTCACTTGTTTTATTTCACTGTCTTGCCTGTCTGTTAGATGCTTATGCAAAGAGGTTAGTCTACCTGCCTTCTGTTGCCAAAATTCCCATGCATCTGATTTCCATTGAGATATCTTCCAAACCTTTTTACCTGGCTGTGTGGCTAGTGATTGTTACTTTTGGCAATCAGCTAACTACACTGCCTAGTAACTAGGCTGATGTAAGAGGCGGTTCCCTTTCAACTCCTACTTTGATGAAGATTGGGGTTTTGTTGAAAAGAACTCTTAGAGCAGGTTCTAGCAGTATTAAATATTTTCTCCATTATTAAAATTCTTGAACGTTAAGCAAAGTGGTCAGAGTAAAAAAAATTTAGAGCATACGGTGAGTTTAATATTTAATCAAAAACCCCCTTCATTTACTAGCTTGTTAAATAAGACATGAAAGCTAAATGAAAATTATTTTCCCAATACCAGACAAATAAACTGAAGGGTACAATAAAAAAAATTCTTAGTCCAATCTTGGTGCATAAACAATTAAGTATACAGTAAGTCTTCATGTGGCTAAACAATTTAAACACAACAGACAGCGTTCTTGTTCCAGGAAAGTTCCTAAGGATTTTAACACCAACTTCAAGAAATTTAAGATTTCACTTGATATTGCCAACATAGACCATACACTTCTGTTGGACAGCTAAAATTCTGGAAATAAAGCTGTAAATGAGTAAACATTATTAATATTTTTGCACTGGGAATAAGGATGTTGTAAGGAAGTTTTGTAGTGCAGTTTTCTGTACTGAGGTTGTAGCAGGGAATCCTGTGCCTTGTTTTGATGGCAGCGAAGTTAGTGATTGCGAAGCAATGGATACAATCAGCTAACTACACTGCCTACAAACCAAGCACTACTCTTGTGATGGGGTCATGGCATTCAAACCTGGAAAAAAAGAAAAAAAGAAAGCACTTCCAATAATTGTATTAACATACTCTATCTCCTCAAATGCTCTTATAACAACAAACAATTGACAATAATGGAAAACACTGGTCATATCACCCTTAGTGTTACTCTACTAAATCCAAAGTCTTTATATCACAAATTAATTATTCTTAATAAATAAAAACTGCAGTGGATGCACCACAAAGATCACTTCAGGAGCGCAGAGACAAAGCAATGAAATACTAAAATTTAAATTATTATAATGCACCACAATGGAAATGGGAAATGAGAAAAGCCTTGGCATGCAGTCCTTGCTGCATGAATGCGGACTAAGTGGTAGCTGTATTCCAAGCTGGAAGTGCAAATACAGCTGCAAATTTGGGCCAAGACAAAATGTCCAACATGAATAACATTCTACCTGGTTTACAGCATGTTAGCTGTTATTGCTTATGTCACAGTGATCCTACTTATCCTTGTTCTCTAGTTGAGGCATTTGAGTTAATGTCCTACAGCATAGGTTTTGTGCAATTTCCATTTAAAGGTTTTCAGAAGAAACTGCATATAACTACAGCAGCAGTAAGAATAGTAGAATTTCACTAGTTCCCTGAACTTCAGAAAGCTTTTTTTTCCAGAAAAATATAGGAACACAGATTGTGCTGGTAGTCAGATGTGAGGCTGCTCAAACCTTTTACACTAATTTGTGGTAGCTAAAGAAATTAGCAAATCTGTTCTGCAGGACAAAACTGAATATGTGTAAGTAGTTATAATCAATTATGCCTTGTGTCTAACACATGTGTATGCAATTAATAATGTGATAAAAATATTTTGTATAGATTTATCAGGCTATTCCTAAATCAGGAATGAGACAGAGTCTGTAAGTTTACGAGGATAAGTTTGTCTGCAAATGAAACAATTTTGCTAGCTTTCACCCATAAATGCCTTTTTGTTAAAACGCATAAAAAGAATTCAGGACTTACCCTCAAGAAGCTTACCTTGTAATAATCCTGATAAGGACTGCATTTATAATAAAATGCTTAAAAAGATTTAATGGAAAGGGAAAAATGGCTAGCTTCTTCACTCTTCATTTCCTTCCCTTTTCCATGGCTAGCACAGCAACCTATTCACTGGGCACCCAGCAGTCTTTCACTGGCAGACGTGCCTCTGGGGATGGTTCCTTAGGTGGCCCTAGGTGCCCCATCTCTTCCCCTGGGACTCCTGGGTTGGAGTGTCCCCACTCTGGGCTGTGGGTCAGCCCCATGCCTGTAACCTTTGTGTACACTCTGTTGTCATGGTCACTCAGCTGGGGCTTGTGCATGGAGACTGGACCGTTGCTTTGAAACATGCAGTTGGCTCTTGCCATAGGAAGCTTTGTTGCAAAAGAGGTTTCTATGGGCAAAGTCAATACGGAGCACACACAGAGTTTCCGCCCTGCTCCTGTGGACAAATGGCTACAGGTTGTGTCACAGACGCCAAAGGTGGTCCAGGCTTTAGTATTACGTGTGGCAGTCCAGGCACACGCCTCTAGGTTGATATCTGGATACTGGGGCTTCAGCCTGGTTTCATTCATACCAGAAGTCTAGCTGATATAGAAGGAGGCCCTAAAAAAGACAAACAGCTCAAAAGAGTGAATGTCTTGTGCTCCTGGCACTGGGCTGCAGTGGGAGGCACACGCTGCACATCTGCACCCAACGGTGACCCACACCACCTCTCTGTCTATTTCTTGGGGGCCTAGCCAGCCATTTCTGTATTCTTGCTCTTGACCTGTTCAGCTCACTGCAGTCCTCTCACTCCCTTTCATTTCAGGACTTGTTTCTCTAAGTAACCCTTTGCTCTTTTCTTCCTCACAATCAGCACCAGCACAACCCCATCCTGCTGCCACTTATGTTTGGAGGGGCAGAAGGCAGATAGATAAGCCCGTATGGATTGGTACAGTGCTGACTGTCCCCACTTTAAGCTGTTCTTTGCTCCATGCTAGCCACACTGGCAACCGAGGCAGAGCAGGAGAAAAGACGTTTTGTGCTCTGCATTGCCCCTTTTTGTGTGGGAGGAGGAACTGCAAGAGAAAAACAACGTGCTCCTCCCTGCTATGTTAGCAACAGTGGCACGATGTGATTCTTAGTTGGTGATGTGATCCACAAAAGCACTGTAAGAATAAGACTTTCAAGAGTGTCTAGTGATTTGGGGTATCACATTGACCTGAGATGCTTTTGAAGGGCTTGTCCTTTAGAGATTTCTGGGCATCCCAACCTCTTTGAGAACTGCATACCTCTATAAGGCCCATGTAAATTGTGTCCAGCTGGATGGCTCAAATCTCTTGTTATTTCTGAAAATCATGGCATGCAAATAGGGAGGAAGAAAGAACTGACAAAAGTAATCAACACTTGAGATTACATTAGCAGAAAAATTTACAAGGCTACAGCAATAGTTCTTAGACTGCACAAAATAAGCCCAGGTAGCTTTGCAGTCTTTCCTTTGCTATTTAATTTTAGGACATGCTAGACCAGCACCAGTCTTTTTTTTAAGTTTATTTTATTGCTTAAGTTGCTGAAGACTGATGATCTTAAATTAAGTTCTAGCAATATGTGGTGCTCAAACACTTAAGATCCTCCAAGCAAATTTAAGCTTTTCCCAACTCCTATATTGTAATATGAATTGAATTAAAAGTATTAGAAGGTGCTAAACATTGCTACATAGCCCCATGAACTGCAGAGCTTTTCTCTTCTGCAAAGGAAGATGACACTTCACAGAATGAGGGTAAAAGCAGGTCCTGAAGTCAACTGTTACGGATGAAGTTGCGAGCCAGAACATCTTCTAAAGTTGTGGAATATACCTCCTTAGCAGTGACATCCTATCTCCTGCATCTGCCCTGTATGACACTCTTTTGTCATACCATCGTGATTTGCCTGCTTACCTGCACAATATGGGTGCTCTCACAGACCTTGTTTCAAAGACCTTTTACACCAGTAAAAGTGTAATTGATCAGTGTAATTAGCATGGTCATATTGTTGTGTGCTTTGCATAATAAAATACAGTACTCATGGTAAAATCTTGAATCAGAAAAACTATCTGTAAGTACCTAACACTTAGGTTTTTACAGAACGCCCACTGAGTAACCAAGTAATCAAGTAAAGATGAAAACCTTATTTGGAACATGGTTCATTTCTGAAATACCTGTTCTTAAGCCCTTTCATCAGGCCCAGAAAATGTCTAACTTATATAAGCTGGAAGGGAAAAATTTGTGAGCAATCAACATATTAAAATTTTAGTTTGTGGCTTTGATTGGAATCAGTTTCTGTCTTATTTCAGTCAAAAGTAATTCTTTGCACAGAGACTGC